AAGGAAGATCCAAGGTCTAGGGTTGGGGCCTTCACAAATTGCTTAAGGGTGCGGAACCAATTGTAAAACGCGTACAAACGCATATGCAACGCTGGAAGGAGCCCTGCCAACAGAGCCAACAGCTTCGTCAGTCGAAGCAGCCTCAGCTTCGAATCAACCATATAGCAGGAAACCTTCTTAAAGCTTAGCTTACAGAATTCCGGTTGTACGCTCAATGAGTACGTCCAATTTACGCGAGCCATCTCCTCACCTGCAAGTGGAAGAACCCGACAGACTATATGACGTAGACAAGCACATGGTGAACGTAACATTCTGATATCATTCGTCACTCGAACTTGCTTCGCTTTGCTGCCTTTTACTTGCATCATAAAAATCCAGCCGTGAATTTACTTGTTTCATTCTCGATAGCTCCGAAACGGGATTGCACAGCGCCGCTGATTCCCTGACACTGGTCAACTCCAAACATACCTTCCGTCATGTGTACAATAAGCCTGAAGTAGCTTGGAATCCGCAGAACAGCTGCAATGCACACGCGAATGGGATTTGAAATCCAGTAACATCCCCGATGGAGGGGGCTGAATAATACTTTTGCCCGGCCGGACCGAACCGATGCCGCACGTGCGTTGCGCCCGCAGCTCCAGATCGGGGCGGGGAGTGCGTATACTCGCAGTTGCTCCTTTTTGGAAAGGCTCCCCACAATGGAATTTTCCCTACGAAACAATCAGCCGGGAAATTAGAGAATGCTGGGCGTACTCAACTGCCGGAGAGTAAGCGTCCAGTGGCAGTTTCCTGCTCTACACTGTCGTGGCAAAAGGGACAGGTTTAGCGGCAGTTTATGTGCGCCTAGCATGCCACCCAGTCGCGTTTCTTAGTTCTGCCTCTCCCTGAAATTAGGAAGGCAATTCTAGTACGAAATGCAAATACCCCTAGGGACTCTGGAGCTTCAGTACCCAGTGGGCCACCGTGATGGCTCTACGCTATGGTCCGATTCTCCCGCTGGCAGCACTGAGAAGTTTAAAGGCGCCACTTCTTCCTCTGCTCGTCAGAGAAGGAGCCGCAGCAGAAGTATAATTAGGACTGTATTTTCGGCATTTCTGGCCCTTGTACTTGCCGCCTATTTTTGTCACTCTCCGAGGGGCCTCCGGGGGTCGGATTATCGACTCCTCCGCCGACTGGCTAGCAGTGATGAAGACGAAACGTGCNAGAAAAAGGGGTCCTAGCAGAGGTAGCCAAGATGCGGGCGCAAAGTCAGCAAAGAAGTCGTTATTTGAAGGGGCTGCGCAAGCTCTCGGAGGCGATGACCATGAAAGTATTGACGCCTTACCGCGACCCTCTTCGGATCAATCTTCCACCCAACGGCAAACTGACTCTTTCCTGGAATACCAGTTCTCTGGAGGCCCGCACGGACCTGATGAGGCTAGCGCAGCTTCAGTCACCGAGAAATTCGAAACAGCACCGCATGGGACTGAGTCTGCGGCAGATGCCGATTTGATAGACGCATTCCTTACGGAAGGAGATGGCATTGATCAGTGGTTTCTCGATTTCATCCTAGATCCGACATCTACTTCATCGGCAGGAAGCGGACTAGAGGATGTTAAGAGCACAAAGGAGCTTGCTGGCGAAGTTGAAGCCAAAACGGGTGACCAGGTAACGCCCAGTAGCAGCTCGAGCTCTGAAGGTCAGAGTCCGGCCGCTCCTGGCAGTACGAGTGCCGACGCTCNACGCCCAGTAGCAGCTCGAGCTCTGAAGGTCAGAGTCCGGCCGCTCCTGGCAGTACGAGTGCCGACGCTCTGCTGCCTGTCTTCAAGACTGAAAATGTGCACGACGTGCAAGCCGGGGGTTCTACGGATGGACGGTACAACTCGGCGTCGCTGCAAGGAAATCAGGCCCCCTTGTTTTTACCGCGCATTGCAACATTCGATCCCACGCGTTTGCAGGTGGATTTTCATTCCAGCCCTTTTCTGCCTTGCCCTCTATATTGTGCTCTATCACTTCTTCAACGGATTGTGCTCTAGGAGACGTCTTTCGAGAGTTAAAAATGAGTTGCTGTAAACGCTTCACAGCTTGCCATATGTTCCGTCGTTTCACGTGCGCGAGCCTGTTTTTCCATGGAATTCTTAACAATATTTAATATTCGATGTTTACATGTGCGCTTTGAATTCAGGTTCCCTCACATGATTATTCTTCGGCGGCTTCCAGCTCAATCTACCAGCTACTGCATTTCACACCTCAACATCTCACGTCAACGGGTCCGTTGGATGCGCCAAGGCCTTTGCACAGTCAAGTGAGCTTCAGGAGTATAAATGCTGAAAGCCAAAAGCTAGAAACCCATAACCGTCAAGTTCTCTCCTGTGCATGCCGATTTGGACGTACTTTTGGTGGTGCTGGGCTTGCTTGCTTTATCACTACTGCAGCATCTAACTTTCAGCAGTTTGCGACAGAATGTCGTACTTCATCAGCTAGCCCAAATATCTGATTGCACGTATACTTTAAAGTAGTTCCCTCATCAGATTCCCGTTTTGTCTCTTCGCTCGTTACTTTCCTCTTATTGTACTGCCATTCTGCTCTTTTTTCAAGATTCGCGCGCTTATTTGCCCTTATCATTTGCCTTCCTGTGAGCTGTGCCCCACTTTCCCCTTATTTTCCTAGATTCCCGCCGATGAAGGAGCGCTGCGACATCACCCATTCTACCGCTTGCCAAGGGCTGATTGTTCACACAACCTTATACCCTTTAGTTTTTCGAGGGCCACAATCCTTACCCCTCAAACCAGGATCCCCGAAGTACTGACGTCAATTCAGACACTTCTGATGAAACCGCACCTCGGGAGTGACGAGGTTCAGTCATTGATGATGCTGGCGGAGAAACTGGTTAAAGATGTTTTTTGCATGGGCAGATTTACGAAGGGCTTTGTCCGCTTCTGGAGCTTATGCGAATCCATTATGCGTCGATTTATCATAGCGGATGCACTGTGGAGCATTTGTGAAGTGGTTGGTCCGTCAATGCGAATGCAGGAGTGGTGGGGTCCAGTTATGGACAGGCTTCTGGTACTTCCTAGTGCTAAGGTATCCTTTTTGCAAACGCAAACAGACCGATTTCTTATCGTCCGCCGGCTAATTGCTGCGCTGCATACGTATCGCGCGGGCCGCCGTCCCTCGGCTAGTGAGGTAATTGCGCTCAAGAGAGAGATATTTTGCTCTGGAAATGGCCCGGGTTCGTTCCGCTCACCTGCATATGACATGTTTAGAAGCATTGATGGTTGCTGATGCTCTCCTGATCGCATGGCGCAGCTGATGCTCCCGCTACAGGAGCCTAAGCGGAACCTGGGCGCTGAGTGCTAGCACTTCTCTTCAATAGTTGCATTGCTGCTCAAGCTCCCCGTCCTGCTAGCGTGCTTTCTATGGCGTGAATGACGGGGTGGCGGGTTGTAGCTGCTTGGGGACAACTCGCCACTGTTGGAATGATACCGCATTTCTGAGGCGACTGAAGTAGACAAATATGTCTTGAAACCGTAATCCCGTTTGAACACAACGGGGGCAAAGTTAAGGCTTTTGGAGTACGTCACATGGATCCGTCGCTGACCTGCGTGTTTTGGGCATTGCTCCGGTGTTTGCGACTCCCGGGAGCTCGCTAAGGTATTTGACAAACGGTTAGCTGAAGACCACACGGTGTCGCTGCCTTCAAGCAATCGGAAAAGCGTAAATTTGATATTCCAAACAACGGGAGTTGGATATCTTGCATGCGGCTAAGGTATTTGACAAACGGTTCGCTGAAGACCACACGGTGTCGCTGACTTCAAGCAATCGGAATCAACTTTACGCTTTTCCGATTGCTTGAAGGCAGCGACACTGTGTGGTCTTCAGCGAACGGTTTGTCAAATACCTTAGCCGCATGCAAGATATAAGTGCCGTAAACTGGGCACTTAATAACACAGTGTAATGTTTTAGGAGAGTGGTGGTAGAAAGCGTTCAATCATGTTTTGTGAAAGCAAGCACGGCAACGCAGGATGTGGATTAAGTAGGAAGCGCACCGTGCATATGGAGGGCAAGAATTCGCCAGGTACATCTGATGCTTGCTAAGGGCCCTGTCGCAACCACAGGGTCCCATCCTATCTCATGTGGTTAGCAGGGATGAAGACGAAGCGTGCCGAAATTTGCTCGAGCTCGTAGAAACGGTTGCCGAAGAATGGCAGAAAGGTTGTTCAAGATCGCAAACACTCCACGCGAGCGCTGGCTTGCTGACTAAGGCTTGCTAAAGAAAGGGTAAACACAGTTCAAATAATCGTATCCAGGATTCGGGGCAAGGAAAGGAGCCTTTATTGGAATACCACTGGTGAGTTGCATTTCAATTTCGATTCCTTACCAAATTCGTCATCTAGGAGCCATATGCCCAACGGCAGATCTTCTACATACAGAAGTGCATGGAAACATGTACATCTGTTGGGTCGGCAGAGGTAAATGGAATGGAAACGACATCGCGTTGGGGTTGCCCTAGCTCGGTTCACCAGTTGATCAAGCACTCTTCGTACCAGACTAAGCCGGTGAGTAGTTGTGTCGTGATTACATTCTCGATCTGTTAGCGACGTCATTGTCAGGCAGCAGCGTAGAGTGCTTCAAGGACGTAGCTTACTACCTAACGCCTAGAAACAGTCCAGAGTCCGCGCGGCAGACGTCGGCCACTCATGGCAGTGCAAGCGGTGTTGGCTACCTACCTGCCAGGAATGCTAAGCAGTACGCAGAGCCCTCAGGAGTGTTTGACTGGCTAGGCAGCGCCATGGCATGGTTGCCAGTCCCATTGGGGAAACAGCACACACGAGGGAAACTATGCAGTCATTTGCAGGGATGTTAAATGCAGTTCTATCTGCGTGTAAGAGCCTCGGAATGACTTGTAATTTGACACGTATATCAGCAGTTGTCCTGCATGGGGTTTTTTTTGGATTGAAGCAAGTCTTTCGGTGCTAGATCCAATCACCCCACGGCCTCCAACGCACATTTGCTGCTCCCACCGTCGACGCAATGCCTTCTTGTGAACTCCCTGACGCATCCTGTGTAGCACTTGGCTTGGCGCCCTTTCTGCGCGCAAGCGCCCACCGCAAAACTCAAAGACGGGCAGCAATGCTCCCGGTTAATCCCCTGAGATATGACACCCTCAGAACTAGACTCGCTTGAATTGGACGAGCATCAACTTCGAAAGTAGCGCTGTGATTTTGCCCTGTTTCTTGCTCTACCATACTGCTGCCGGAAATTATCTAAAGCCAATACCCGCCTGTCTCCTAGTTCCCGTTTCAGGGGGGATATGAGTGCATCAAGTCTTCTAAAGGCACACATTTCCGTAGCTTTGCCCGATGTAACTTTGGAAATACTAGGTGTGCATGTAGTTCAACTTCTTCGCACAGTGCTGCTACAAAAGGGGTATGGTGTATTGCGCCAGGTGGCTTGCTAGGCAA